TTTAGCCAGCCTTTTGCTACTTTTAGCCAGATGTTTGCTACTTTTAGCCAGCCTTTTGCTATCCAGCTACTTTGTCAACTTTTGTTACTTTTAGCCAACGTTTTGCTACTTTTAGCCAGACATTTGCTACTTTTAGCCAGCCGTTTGCTACTTTTAGCTAGACGTTTGCTACTTTTAGCCAGACATTTTCTTCTTTTAGCCAGCCTTTTGCTACTTTTAGCCAGATGTTTGCTACTTTTAGCCAGCCGTTTGCTACTTTTAGCTAGACGTTTGCTACTTTTAGCCAGACATTTTCTTCTTTTAGCCAGCCATTTGCTACTTTTAGCCAGATGTTTGCTACTTTTAGCCAGATGTTTGCTACTTTTAGCCAGGCTTTTGCGTCATGTGATTAATCATGTTTGGCTTCAACTGAAATCTGAGTATGATATTGGCATGAAAACATCTGCTGACATCGACAGTCATGTCCTTCAGTCAGGGTCAGGTTCTGGACATTGCTAGATCATTTCCTTTTTGAGCTGTTCTGTTGTAGATTGGCTGCTCATTGTCCAGTTGGGTCCAAACTTTATCTGTTGGACAGATGTCCTCACAACTGACTCTAGATCCATTTGGTCTAAAGAGGAGTTTAGATCGACTCAGTGACAGCAAGGAGCACAAACTGCCATTCCTCCACCACCATGCTGGCCGCTGGTATGATGGGTTTGCTGCTGTGCATTCTGGGTAAACATCTCTCCTTTAGTCTGGTTTTGTTCCGTGAGTCGTGGTTCCTTCAGATGAAACTTTCTAAACCTATCATGCTGCCGTGTTTTTAGAGAAGTTTTCTCCTGCAACCATTTGAAACAAACCATTTATGCTGACTGAAGTCTGTAGTCTGAGATGGAGCTCGTGCCTCTAAGCATCGCACAGTCTGACCTTTGGGGTGAGTTTGCTGCCACTCCTGGAATATTGGCAGCTATCTAAAATAGTTTCCACTTGTGAGTACCCTCTCTCTCTCTCTTTAGAATGATGGGACTATAAATAATCTGGAAATGACCTTTGACCCTCAGCAGATCGAAGGGCAGCAGCAGTTGCTTTAGAGATCATTGCTGATGTCTTTCCTTCCTGGCATTGTTTAACACCTGTATGTTCCAGAGCTTTTCTAGAGGTGGTCCTACAACTGATACAATACAATCTGCTTTGCTGTTGTTGACTTGAAGTTAGATCTGAATCATTTTAGAAGCTGCTGAAGAGCTGATCAGTTTTATGAAGTCCTGATGAACTCTAGAGTCGGAGAGTGGACCTTCTTTTTCTCCATGACTGTGTTTAGACACCAGTTCCTTCAGAAACAAACAAATTGTAACTGTAGAGCTCTGCTGCCTTTGGATAAAATCCCAGATTTTTGTTAGATGAGTTTAGACCAGATAATGAAGAAAACAATGTTTTAACTGAAGAAATTTTGTTTTAAACAAAGGTTTAGTGTAAATATTGAGAGATGAACGACTGCTAAAACTGGAAAAAGTTTTCGGTCAAGTCTGAACAAGTAGTACAAATCTAAAACGAGACAGCTTTTAAAAGCTAAAGTTAGCAGAACCTTTGCTTAAAAAGTTGTATTTAGCACGACATGATCTAAAACGTAAAATGTGTAAAATCATAGCTAAAAGCTGAAAGTAGCACAGCTTTAGCTAAAAGCTAAAATTAGCAGAATAGTAGCTAAAATTTACAGAATGGTAGCTTTAATGTAACAAAAAGACGGCTCTTAAAGTAGAAGAATGGTAGATAAAAAGAGCAGAGCCGAAGCTATAATACAAGACTAGCAAAACTGTGGTTTAAAGACAAAATTAGCAAAACAACAGCTAAAAGCTAAAATTACAATATAGCTTAAAGCTATAGAAGTAGGAGACGGGTATCAAAAAGGAGCAGAACAATAACTTCAGGTTAAAAGTAAAAGTTATGGAACTATAGCTTTTTTCATTCAACCTGTATTTATACAGGCTAGCCTCATTGAGTCACGAGGACTCATTTTCAAGAGAGACCTGTTCCACAGAACATATTAAGTACAGACAACAATAACAGTACTGTAGACAATGACAACAATAAACTATAGTAAAAAAGCAGTTAAAGTAAGAGCAGTGTATAAAACAATAAATCAGGGTGCTGTAAAACAGGGTGAAATACTAAAAACAAGAACATATTTCCTTTGATTTTTCTATTGACATTATCAAATATTTAAAATCCCCTAAATAAATTAAGGTGGACAACTTCTGGTCCTGTTGCAAGGTGTTCCAGGTTGCAGGAGCTGAGTAGGAAAAGGCCTTTTTGCTAAGTTCAGTCCGCATTGAGGGAACGCTGCAGGTAATGATGTCCAAAGGCAGTAGACCAAGACGGGATTTATAGAAAAATAATGTACCAGTGTGAGAATCTACGAGACGTTAATGATGACCAACTGACCAGTGAATACAGGGTACAGTGATGGGTGCAGTAGTTACAGCCAGTTATGAATCATAGAGTACCATGGTAGACAGCATCCAACATCTGCAAGCAGCTGGCAGGGGCATTCATGTAAATAATGTCACCATAGTCAATGGTCAGAAGGAAAATAACAGTTACAAGGCGTTTTCTGGCATTCTGAGTTAAGCAAGATTTATTTCCGAAAAAAAAAAAGAAACCCAGTTTTAATTTCAGTTTCTTTATCAAGTTTTTGACATGTGGTTTAAAAGAGATGTGCATCGACCAAAATCCCAAGTATTTGTTAGAATCTACAAACTCATTAGGAACACTATGCATGGATGAGATATGAGGAAGAGTTGCTGGCACCGATTTTCTGTTTGAAAACAACATCCTTTTGGTTTTATCAGCATTTAGCACCAGCTTGAGATGGAATAAGTCTGACTGAATGATGTCAAATGTAGACTGTAGAAGCTGGAAAACCTTGGCAACTGTGTTAGCTCAGCAGTGCCATTGGCATAGAGATGCAAGGAAGCGTTAGGAATGTTTAGACCTACATTATTTATATAAATTGTAAAAAGAGTGGGACCTAAAACTGAGCCTTGCGGCATGCCGTTGGTAACCGTTAGGTCGCTAGATGAAGTACCGTTATGTCGAACACATTCCCTCCGACTTGAGAGATAGTTTTGAGAACCAGCCAACAGTGTGATCTGAGAAGCCAATATCTGAGAGCTTATGGCATAAGATGTCATGATCTACAGTATCAACCACGTTAGACAGGTCTAAGTAAAGTTCAGCACAGTAGCAAAAGATAAATGTGGCAAAAGAAGCCGTTTTTAAAGAGCACATAG